TTCTGCTAACTCATCTCGCATTTTACCTATAACTTCATCCCTCATTAGCTCTGTTTGCAATAGAAAGTCATTTGTCGTAGCTCCCACCGTGCCAACTAAATCAACCAATTCCACTTATTTTTGTAATAAATTTCCCAATTCCACACGCCTTGAACTTCTTAAAGCCTTTAACTCTGCTACTTCTGATGACTCTGACGATTCTACTAATTCTGACTTTTCTGACGACTCTGACGATTCTACTAATTCTGACTTTTCTAACGATTCTACTACTTCTGACGACTCTGACGATTCTACTAATTCTGACGACTCTGACGATTCTACTAATTCTCAAGACTTTGACGATTCTACTAATTCTGACGACTCTGGAACTACACAAGGTTCTTCCATACCCTTTCTACCTTATTGCTTAACAATTCCGTTTGCCTACTTAACGCATCAACATGCGGCATACTTTCGCCAGGACGGTGTTCAATTTTGTAGTTGTAGTTTTCCAATTCTAACGACCAACGAGCAATAAGGGGATTGATAGACATTTTGCTTAATGATTGTACACAATTTTAAAGGGCATGTATTCTAAATATACTCTAAAACGACGAAGAGCATAAATAATCGCAAGTGTCTCGAGCTCGAACTGTAGTATCTTGATTCGGCTTCCAAAGCCTTTAATAAATAATACAAAACTGGACGCATTTTCCCATCGTTCTGTTTCTGCATAAAAACGGCTCCAAAAACTCGAAAACTGGAGTCAGTATGTAATTCCGTTTCGCGATTAGGGTTAAATATTGAAAGTATTGGCGGAGTTGATAAACGATTTCTTAAGTCCTTAAAAACTTTCATTTGTTCTTCATTCATCGGGAACGGTCCTCCTTTTTTTAACAGTTCAACTAATGGTCGGGCTATACTTGCACAAGACGGAACAAATCTACGAAAATATGAGAACATACCTAAACAAGAGTGAAGTTGTTTTGTATTATTCGGAACAGGATAATTATTTATAACTTCTATATGCGAATCATTAGGCAAAATGCCTTTATTGCTAACACTGTACCCTAAATAATCTATCACCTTTCTTAAAAATAAGCTCTTCTTAAAATTGATTTCCAAATGCTAATCGTTCCAGCAATTGTACTAAGATTTCAAAGTGTTCCCCTACTGTTCTTTATCTACTACTATATCGTCCATGTAAACAACAATTTTGCGATTTTTAACCAAGTCCATCAGACTGCTTGAAATAAATCGCTGAAATAATGACGACGCAATCCAAATGGCAATCGTATATACTCAAACTGTCCTTGTGGCGTTAAAAACGATGTATACTTTATAGAACTTTCTTCAACACTGACTTGATGGTACTTACTTTTTAAGTCAATAACCGAAAAAAAATATTTTCCATCTAAATACTCAAGGCAATCTTCTATTAAAGGCAACGGGAAATACTCATTTTGCAAACAGGTTCAGCTAATTTCGTACTTAAAACATTTAAATAACTTTCACAGATCAACTTGCAGCATTTTTCTCTATTCCCAAACCCGAATTCGCCACCGATATCTAGATTTGTATATAACTCTGTTTTAACACCTGCACACAAACAATCCATGTCATTCATCAACTGCTCAATTTGGGTATTCTCGGTAGTTAATTGACCTCCCTTTATGTCAATGTTTATCTTATTGTCTATTGTATTGCACAAGAATAAGTTAAATCAAATTTATTATTATCAAATACTGACATTTTTCCGTAGTCTGAGTTTCCTTGGATTAATCGTAATTGTAAAGCGTCAATAGCGTTTCTGCCAAGAATTAATCAACCATCATCATGAACAACAAAAACTTCAATTTCATAAACTTTCAAATTAAACTCAATATAGCATTTAACTGCGCCGCGTAGCATAATATTTCTTCCATAAATTCCACATTATTTACTCTCAAATGGGTTGGCTAACGTGACATATTTTGGCAAATTTGTCTTGCTTACGAAGCTAGCCGGGCTACCGGTATCAAAAAGAACATTAATTACTATACATTTTGTGCATCTAAGTTCATTTATATTAAACTTACTAAATGTTTACCAATTATGTCAGCAACAGCTTGATGATCGTCCACACTCGCCACTGTCTGCTGCAGTCTTCCAGTCACACGCTACGGAATTGATGATCCACGCCTCCACAAGTAAAGCAACTATTCGGTGGACGTATGGGCTTTTTGCAGTCCTTTATCATATGTCCCGGCTGACGACAATTGTAGCATTTTATATCATGAACGCTCGAACTACCACGACCAGCGTAAGAATTTGGCAGTGATAAACGGATTTGATCATACTCTATCAAACGGCGACGCAATTGATCAAGACTCTCGCAAAAGTAAAGTGACGCAGTAATGGCACTTGTGTCGTTTAATCCGCCAACAATGTGCTTAATTAAATCACGATCTTCGAATTCAGCTTGGCGTGCAATACTGCACATGGATATAAAGTATTGAAATGCAGTTTCATCACTTTTTTTACGGCTTCTGAGCTGCTCACAGATCTCCAGTTTTGTGTTTTTACGTCCAAAAACATCCATCATCAGAATTCGCAAGGCATCCCAATCAGCAGCACCTTGATATGCGAAGTAACTTTTTGCTGGTTCAATAGGAAGACGCTTCGCATATAACCAATAGCGATTGAGTGGTACTCCCAACACTCCACATTCAAACTCTTTAATCCATAATTTGACAGGAGTACCATCCCCTCCCGAAAAGGGCTCAACTACCGCCTTTATATCCGCGATTTCAACCCGTGAAAAATTTGTGACCATTTTTGTACCAAATTGGTTCCGTTCCATGTCGCGTAGCGTTGTTTGAAGTCCCGCTACTGCTTGACAAACATCAGCCAGATCCTCTCGAAACATGCCTGATCTTGTAACACAATGTCGCTTGCAGCTGCCTGACCATGTTCGTCATCCGGGCCAGCCTCATGCTTGTCGCTCATTTTGAACAAAGTGTTTGCCGCAATGCGCAATTGGTGTATGGAAGCCTTGACGTCAAAATGCACCTCGTTGGCTCTCAATAGCTTTGATTGCTTCAATATATCAGAATACAACACGGGTACTATATGTGAAAGCTATGGGCAATCACCCCACACCTGAATTGTAAATGATTCCTTTTAATTTAATGATTTTAGTTCCTTCTTTTAATGTTCAGCGTGTTCTCTTCATCTTCTTCAATTATTAAGCACATTCGTTGTGTATCGAGAATAGAGTTCTTATCGATGCTTAAGCCTAGTACTCACATAGACGAAAACCGCGAGCTAACCATAGAAGTGAGCGAGAGGCAAATACGCGGCCAAAGCTTTTCGTCGGGTCTGTTTTTCAGCGCGGTACTCAGATGAGCTAAGGAAATACCAGAAAAAATAACAGAATTTGCGAGTGAACTTGCGATGAACGCCGTTAGCCGCGACCCAAAGAATAAGAAATTTAATCTTTGGCTGTGTTGGTGCAGAAGCGGGTGGAAACCAAAATTCAAAAATGGAAAAAAAAACTCAAAAACCACGCTAAAAACGCTTTCAGGAGTTTAGTTCTGAGGAAAAAGTGCGCTTAATCCAAGCTGTGGAGGAGCGCCCAGTGTTATGGGACTTGACCCACAAAAAGCATTTCGATGCTGTGTTTATGAAGAGAACCTGGGAGGAGATTATGTTATAATTTTGCATAAAATATTTGTGAACATAAGTATATAATATATACTTATTATGCTTAGATAATAGTTGCAAGCTGGCTTGGAAGCCCCTGCGGGGCAGCCTTAAGTATCACAACAAGGTCAGAAAACAGAAGAATGGAAGTGCTGGAGGAGATCTACTGGAGAAGCCCAGTGGAAAGGAGTGTGCCGAGTGGGAATTCGCTCCGTACATGGACTTCTTGCCGGACGTGTCTTCGCAAAGAAGGTAGGTTCTGGCCAAATGAATTTGGTTACGTTTTACTAATCATTTCAATTATAGCAGAACCACCAGTAGTGCGATCTTAGACGAGATCTCTATTGAAGACTGGACACTGGACTCCACCACCATCACCTACTCTGCAGCTGAAGCGGAGCTGGAGGGCGCGCTAGAGGATGAGGTACCCGAGGAATTATATACCTACGTAAGTTGCTCTACTCGTGTTTGATTTTGTAACGTTTATATGATTTTACTTTTACTTTCATAGGGAGGAGGAAAAAAGCAACCCCCAAAGAAGCGAAAGCTGGATCGTAATGGCTCACCAGTCGTGGTCATGTGTTCATGCTGGGGGAATTCCTTCAGCATCAGCGGGACAACACCACTCTATTAAGGCCCATATTGGCCTATTGGAATGGGGAGCTGAACGCCATACGTCCGGAAGATGCTGCCAGGGTGGAGAAGATGACGCAGCTTCTGTGGGACGAGAAAGAATCCCTTTACTACTAATTTAGATTATTAAAAACATTTATTGAACATTTCAATTATTTTTATTTTATTTTCTTCATATACCAGCAGACTCGTCTTGCCAAGGTACTTGAGAATACCCAGCACTACCGTTTAGATATTCCATCAAGTTGCTTCGAACTTCCTTGCTGAAATCTTGAGGGCGACCTTGTCGGCAGGCTCGCAGGTCGACAAGCACGTTGCTCGGTACTTCGTGCAACGTGTAAGTTGTAGGATTTTTCCGCATCAAAAAATTATGCAGGGCACAACAGGTTGCAATAACTTTCTGAGAATTGCTTGGGTTGCTCAGCAAAGTACGTTGCACAGCCTTAAGCCGTGCACTAAGAATTTCAAATGCATTCTCAATGCAACGACGAGCACGACTCAGCCTTTAGTTGAAAATGCGCTCCTTTCGATGCAGGTCCTTGCCACTGTATGGCTTCATAATGCGCTTATGAAGGGGAAACGCATCATCGCCGATTATGAAGTAGGGAGTTCGGTGCCCGTTTATCACTTTGTCCTCCGGAAACGGCAGCTCATCCAAAAGTAGGCGTTTTCCAAGCGTACTGTGGGAAAAAGCGTTCATGTCTCCCTCGCTTCCGAACGCCCCGGCTTCTATGTAAGTGAACCGGTAGTGAGCGTCGCAGATTGCCATAAGAGCAATCGAATGAAATCCTTACATTAGAATAGATTTACTTATTACATTTTCTTTGAAATTTAAAAGTACATACCTTATAATTGTAAAAAAGGCTTCCGCTATTAGTGGGGGCCTTTATCGCCACGTGCTTCCCGTCGACGGCACCAAGACAGTTTGGAAAGTTCCATTCGTCTTCAAAGTCTTTCGCCCACCTCAGCATGTTATCGGTGGTCCACTTCGGAAATTCCCCTTGCAACGCAGTCCAAATTGCTGTGCAAACCTGGTCGAGGACGACACCGAAATGTTGCTTGCTGATCCGATAAGTGGATCCAACATGGCGTTGCAGATCTCCAGAAGCAAGAAATCTAACAAAGGAATATTTAATCACAATATTAAAATACAATAATGGTATCAAAGTCTAGACATATATGTATATATATTCTATTTACTCCAAAACGATGACCAACTTCGCTTTTAGCGGTATGGCATCTGGCCGGGTGTTCCTTTTGGGGATAAGGTACTGCTCCACCAATCCAAAGAGTGCGTTGAAGCTGCTTTCCGGCATGTGGAAGTTCTCGAAGAACATGGATGGGGTGTTAACCAAGTTCTGAAACTTTAAAATAGAAGAAAATGCTCATAGGTGGAAGAGTATTTCTTTATTTTTCAACAATATTACTTACGTCTGAAGCGTAGCGGCCTTTAAACGAGCTTTCCTTTCCTACTGCAAAGGTAAAGCTTGCGTCCTTGGTCTTCCACATTTTGTAACTTTTAAATTTTCAATTTGTTTGATTTTTGTTTGTCATCAAAACCAGCTGATTGACAGTAAGACTATGCTATATGCTTTGCGAATGAACTCTGAAAACTTCGTTCACACTACAAAGAATAAGATTTTTCGACTAGTGAAACTCTTAGCCGATCTGAGTACTAGGCTTTAATATATGTAACGAGTCGCCACATTCAAATTAACTTCAGGCGGAGGTGGTACCGTGGTGGTTAAGCGCACGCGGGTATACTCGGCTGGCTGCTTGTCGGCTGTGGAAGTGGATGAAAAATGCTTAACCCCATGAAGTGCCTATTTTCTATTGATAATTGAAATCTAACTTCGCGTGCTGGACAAGCTGAATTCGGAATAAGCAACAACATATAAAATCGAAAGGAAAGTCTAAAATTCCCTTAATACCCTAGCCGAGTCTCAAATTCACCTCGTCAGATGTCACCGAGGTTCTTTACTGCCCACGCAACCATTCAATACGAGCTACCCTATCGCGGAATCATTCTACCTGCGGCAACAGATTGATAATTTAGCACATTACAAAAGTTTATTAACAGCTAAAAGAGTAAACAAAGCGAACACATATCTTAGATCTAAGCATGCAGGAATATATAATGATACGATTTAGTTAAATGAGCATAATTTTAAATGAAATTGTGATTATGCGGCGGAAATTCAATTTAATTTACTTTATGACTTTATAATGCAAAGGGGTAAGAAACAAATATTCAAAAAAAAATAAAACTGTCAATAAAAATCGCAAAAAGAGGATTTGTCATCACGATTTTTCTGACTGCAGGCCAATTGGGTAAAGTGTAATTTAGCTTTTTATACCCGTTACTCGTAGAGTAAAAGGGTATACTAGATTCGTCGGAAAGTATGTAACAGGCAGAAGGAAGCGTTTCCGACCCCATAAAGTATATATATTCTTGATCAGGATCACTAGCCGAGTCGATCTAGCCATGTCCGTCTGTCCGTCTGTCCGTCTGTCTGTCCGGATGAACGCTGAGATCTCGGAAACTATGAGAGCTAGGCTATTGAGATTTGGCGTACAGATTCCTGAGCTTCTTACGCAGCGCAAGTTTGTTTCAGTAGACTGCCACGCCCACTCTAACGCCCACAAACCGCCCAAAACTGTAACTCCTACAGTTTTTATGCTAGATAGAAAATTTTAACTGAAATTTATTGGTCTCATCAATACCTATCGATTGGCCTAAAAAAAAGTTTGCCACGCCCACTTAAACGCCCACAAACCGCGAAAACCTGTGACGCCCACAATTTCCATGCTAGATAAAAAACTTTAACTGAAATGTATTGGTGTCGTCAATACCTATCGATTGATCCAAAAATAAATTTGCCACGCCCACTCTAACGCCCATAACGCTTAGATCTGTCTACCGCCGGTAGGTGGCGCATTTTAATCTCGCTTAGCTGCTTGCATATCTCCATTTCCATTTGAGTAACGGGTATCTGATAGTCGAGGTACTCGACTATAGCGTTCTTCCTTGTTTCTTTCTCTTCTCTTCACATCGCCTTGAGTTTGTTTTCTGATCTTTCAAATATAACTTTTCAGATTCCCCCCTTTGAACTTTTTTTTAGTTTTCCGGCATTTTCCGGTGCAAATTCACGGCTCTTGAAGAAAAACTCCGCCGCGGTTCCGCGACGGACCGAACGTCTTGCAGCACGATCGAATAACTGCCCTTGGCTCTCGCTTAAACGACTAACGATGCCCAAGCAAAAGCTTTTATTTATAACCTAGCAGACGAAAATGGTGATGTAGGTCGGGTCTTCTCCCAACGCCCCAAAGGCAATGCTGCTGGCGGGGCCCAGAACTGGGCCTCTTTTCCGCTCCTCGACGTAGACTTTCGAGCAGCTTGTCCGGCTTCAAATACAATAGGGGATGACCTCCACCGATATGAGCGAATACACGGCGGCCGCGCAGGAACCTTTTGAGGACGGCTGGTAGCTGCCGAATAAGCTCAACATTACTCACTCGACCTCAAACCTTGCGATCACGACTAGAACTCACCTTAATCCGTAATTAATTTCCTGAATATATATTTCCTTTTCTTTTCCCCTTCCGGTGGCTCAGCAATATGAACAGGCTGGCCTTAGTCACTCGCGCTAAACTTTTGCGTATTAAACACTTGTAAAGAAAATTTTACTTCTGCTTGCTTAGGCTGCCAAAACGGAAAAGACCGACTTTGACGCCACAATTCAGGCGGTAACCCAAATCCCGGAGTATGAGGTGAAAAACTAGACTTGCGCTTTCGCCTGACACTTGCCCCTGTTGCTCTCACTTATTCCGAAAACTGCTGCAGAACATTTCTGCGCATGAATGCTAGATGGCGCCACCCCTGTGTCTCTATGAACCACAGATGGAGCCACTTCTGCTAAAGCAAGCTTTACATATAAAATTATATTATAGAAAGTACACACTAAAATACAATGCTTAATATAACATTATGTTTCCGCTTAATACTTCTTAGTATACAGCTGCGGAAAAAAAATAGCACCATGACACAAGCTTGGCTTTAAATCGAAATTTTATTAAGAATAATGGCTTAAGCGAGTGGGAAACCACTTGTTTTATTACTATAACATATTATTTATGAAATTGAAGGCAATTGTATGCATTTGATACTTCACTCGAAAGTATTTCACAAATATACGAAATTTTAATGGAATTTGGTCGGCAACAAAAATAGCATCAAAACTAAAAAATGAGTGAAAAACATAAAAATACAACAATATCAAAAAAAAATTATCCAGATATATGTCCTAAAAAATTAATATTTTGTTGTGAAGCCTTGGGCAGCAAGGACAGCAGCACATCGTCTTGGCATAGAGTTCACCAGACCCTGACATCTGCACAGTGGCCCAGAGGTCCTATTTATTTTTGGGCTTTGTCTTAGAAACTACTTTTTTTAATGTCACTCCAAAGATTTTCTATCGGGTTCAAGTGTGGCGAGTGTGCCGGCCACTCCAAGACGTTTACACGGTTGGTCTCAAACCAGGATCAAGCTTACCTGCTCGTATGCTTTGGGTCATTATCCTGCTGGAAGACCCAAAACAAAGGCATTGGCTTGGTAGCACAACTGTTTCCTCCATGTTAAATTGTTTTGCAGGTGAAGCGAGGATTATATTCTGTATTGGGAGGTCGTCTAACGTAAGACCGAGACCCTTTTCCATTAAATAAAACAATCTTAAAACAATCAATCATCAGACCACAATATGTTCCGCCACTACTGATTTGCTAACTTAATTCTTTTTGCGATGTTCTTCTTAGTCAATAGCGGTACTTTTCTTGGACTGCGTGCGTATAATTTGTTGTCTCGTAAATAGGATCTAACAGTTGTAATAGCTGCTGATATGTTTAGATCCTTTTTAAGCTCGCTAGCCGGTGTAAAAGAGCCCTTCTTACTTTCGCGCACCAGGTGCGTTACCATTTTTGTTGACATTGCAAGTTTTCTCCAGCGTGTTTCTGGTTTGGTATCATATTTTAGGTCACTACAAATCATTTTGTTTGAGCAACCGATGATTCGCCCCACCTGGGCATAGGTATTGCCTTCGAAAATGAGGTTTTTGATTGTTTTTCGTTTTTCCACAGTACAATGCTTCGCACGACCCATAACTACCGAAATTTGCGACAACTTTACCAAATCAATTAAATGCACTGATATTAATGCATCTAAGAAGAAAAAACACCACAAAGTTTCGAACAAGTAAAGCTTTCGTAGAAGATCCGTTAATAGTGCTATTTTTGTTCCCGCTATATTTTGACTCTCTCCATACATATTCGAATGTAATAAAAACCGTTTGCATTGTAACAGTTATCAGTGTTATTTTAGTAAGTACATATTTTTCACTAATTTTTAATTAAGTGGGTATTAAAATTAATGTTTCGGCTTAATATTTTTTTGGCACTTAGGGGTTAGTTTCCGTAGGAGGGAATGTAATGTCACTTAAGTTAATTACACTAAATTCAGCTTTATTTTCAATTTCATAGTAAGTGACATTTGTCATCGGTGGGTACTAAATCCCCCACCATTAAAGGGAAATACGTAATGAAAGTTAAAAGTTCCCGAGAAGTCGCCTTTTAATTATGTTTTTTACGAACGAAGAACAAACATTTCCAATTTCGGCGCTTCCATATTGAAAGTTTGTTTTTCTCAGATTTGATATTTCCAACTCAAATATTTCACTCTTAATATAATACAGGCAGAAAAATGGGTAAACTTGTTAAAGCACACTCTGATTTAAAACCTGATGAAGATACATCACATTCTTTTAGATCATTTTCTTAATTTATTTGGTTTCGCAACAACTCAACTTTAACTTCAAAGGCCATAGCTGTCTCTTGTTTTGAAAGTTTGTAAAACCTGCAAAAAAAATTACTTGAAAATGAAGTTGAAAAACCCAAGACGCTGTTGAGACCAAGATTGTCTCCTAAAATAAGCCCAAAAATGAATAAAATTCCTCGCTCTTTTCCGTTTATTGAAACCACTATTCCATTGGTCTCAATATCTTGTAAGAGTTCTATGAACTTATACATACATTTGGAAAACCCAAATGTTTTAATATCACTTGTGTTTAGCACAGCGGCACAGAAAATATTATTATATTCAATTGGAGCTGTTGGAAACGACAAATGCAATGTGGACCTAATGGGTTGTTTATCTCGAAGTCGTCAAAACAAAAGAAGTACGGCAATATAATTTGTCCATTTAGAGTGTTATTAATCCTAATTTTCTTCCATAAAAAGCCGTTGACAAAATTGGTAATGTTTGTTTCGCTTTTTAAAAATTTTTCAAAAATGCGTCCAGTAAATTTGGGATTTCAAAAAACTTTTTTAAATGACATTTTTATGGAAATATGGAGCCTTTGGATGGTTTCGACATTAGCATGACTTTATTCTTCGACCGTGTTGGTGATATTCTGTCATCGATTTTTACAATAATTGGGCCTTCCTATAAGAACCTTTAAAAGCTTATACTCTGTAGAAACGGCTTGAAAGGGATTTCGAAAAAATTCTAGAAGATGTTTTTTTAGAATCTTCGGTCCAATTTGGACATTGTTGAATTTGTTGTAACTCCTTTTCTATTGGCGCTATTAAGAATTTCCTAATTTCGGACTGCAATTTAAATACGGCTT